TACTGGGAGATGATTGAGTTGGTGTTTGTAACGTGGTACCTCTTTATATCTTTGGGATATTCAGCCACGGCTTTGTGTTCATCAGCCTTTTATTGGTTTTTTCCCTCGTTATCTTGTGTGGTCGGGGGCAAAACTGAAAGTGAGGATTATCCGACTGCTTACAGCCAACCAAAGTGAACACCGGATAATATCCTTATCCGGTGTTTTGTGCCGTCGGAGCCAAAAATCTGCCCAGAGGGCACAAAATCCGGATACAATCCGGATGTGCCAAAGAGGCCAAAGCAGACAGGCCAAAGTGCCCCTTCTTGACAAGGATAAAGGATCGAAACTATTCTTCTCATTAAAGTACTATACAGTACCCTCTGTCCGGAAGTAGTTGGAACATTCATATTAATTTAATAATGAGAGTCACCGTAGTATCGTACATTTTGTCCGGTATTTTCACATTATCTGCACCCATGTGTGATTCCTTTAGATTTAGAATACAACAGTCAATGAGCAATTCGTACAAAATTGCAATCGTTGAAATACTATTCAACATTTTACAGGTGAATTACTTGCGATATTTGTTGCATTACCATTTTCGGAATCAATCTCAAATGTTGCAACTACTTTCGGACAGAGGTAGTAGCTTTTTAAGCTCGCGTTTGTAAGGGTCAAAAAGTGTCTGTTGCTTTTAACTATGGTGATCGCTCAACAAATGGCCCAGATTTCCATATTTACACTTTTCAAATGCCCTTGGACATTTTAGATCAGAAATCGCCGAATTTACAGTTAATGATGCGTTTTCAGAAATGACGGGTAAAAAACGCAACTAATAATGATTTAACGTCAACATTTCGTGGGTTTAACTGAAAGAACCGAGGCGTTTAATAGTAAAACGTCTCCTCCTGAGGATGCCCATCTTCCAGAAATATTGCGTTTTGATTAAATAAATATTTAATTTTTATGGCCAACCACACATTTCAATGTCGTCATTCTTCAATTTGCCACCTCATACACACTGCTCACTGGTCCACGGGTATGTCGATCCCCTTGCGCATTCAGTCATCCGTTGGTACCACAAGCAAAGTTCATTCTATATCTAGGCAGTACATATATCTCGACTATAGAAGATGTCTTACAGAAGCAGCACGAAACACGACCCACGCACGATATACGCGGAACTTTGGCGGCTTGTGGCGTAGGCTGGGTGTGTCCGCCTACGCCACAAGCCGGCAAAGTTGCCATAGGAGTCTGGTAGCATGGAGTGCAATTCACACTACTGCTCCAGGTCACGAGGCCTAGAGCAATCGTTCGAGGTTTTGTCCCATGTAGCTACGTACTCGCAGTAATATCAGTACATCCTGATTCACGTCCACTTCATCCCATCGGTGGTTGGTAATACTGTAGGGCCGACGATAAGTTTAAGGTATTTCGTGCATTCTCTACCCTTATTCAGATGATTACTATAACCGAAAAAGTCCCCCTAACCACTCCCACTACTTGACTTTTTCAACAGGCTTTTTGTCCATATGACTCCCTCGACATACATTTGACTACTATTCGTGGAGACTAAAACGCTTTACGTGGATTCGGTTATATGGGTAAAACGCCAGCACAACCCCCAAGTGGTCCATCTGACACGCTGGTCGTGCGTTGTTTCATTGGCCATTGTCTAAACCAATCAAACATGGCCTGGAAGGTGAACGAAGTGGAGCCGACGCCGCGGCACTTCGGCGACCGCCTGACCTTCCATGCGATCTCATTCCCGGCAAAGCATGGCGACCGCGTCATGAAGTGCCTCGTGAAGACGACACTGTCTCTACGAGACATGGGGTACGTCCATCTCAAGCGCATAAAGAAGAGTGCCGACGGCACGCTGGTCGCACTCGTGTCTGTGGACGCCGACGTCCTCGCCGTGGTCCTTGCCGCCTTGCACGATGTCGACGGTCTTTCTCCCTGTATGATAGACGTTCCGAAACACACTGCGTTGTCCAAGGAAGAGTTCCATGCTGGCAACGCCGTCTGGCCCATGGTGTTCCACGTGCATCCCACGACCACGCAACTCTCCGCGGACGACGCCGACGTCTTTATATCAACAATGCGATCCCTTGTTCAGGGCAAGATCATGTCAACAGCAGACGTTGGATGTGCCGCGTCCCATTGCCTCGTCGTACATCCCCACACTCCATCGGACGTTGTCGCATCGACCTTGGACGAGCCGCCATCGACCTCGAAGAATCCGCTCATGAAGCACGCCGTCCTGCGGGTGTTGGATGCCGTCGCCGCCCGGCAAGCCGCGGCACCTTCTTCGTCCTCCAATGCATATCTGTGCACAGGACTCGACGTGTTCGTCGCCATCGAGCCTTGCGCCATGTGCGCCATGGCACTGGTTCACGCCCGCGTGGGCAGAGTCATCTACCATCGCGCCAACCCCGTCACGGGCGCATTGGGGTCTCGGTATTCGCTGCACGGACAACCGTCGTTGAACCATCGGTACCGTGTGTTTCATGTCCAACCGGACACTCCCACTGTATGAAAATTCCTTATGTGGATAATAATAATAAACCGTCCAACAAAAACACCGGATTTGATTTGTTGCAAACGACATACAAACCTTCAATGTAATTCGTCGATAAGAAGCCTGGTTTCGAAATAGATCGATATACGACCAATCAAAATCGATAGAATTGGCCAAAAATCAGCCCAAAAGTCATCCAAATTTTGGGTAAAAGGACACAATTTTTATTCAAGATAACGTTATACGTTTCACTGTTTCTATTCACCCAACGTTGTTGCCGACGTTGTGCAGGTTCAGGAACTCGTCCTTCATGGCTTCGAGCATGGGCACGATCTGGTTAAAGCCTGGGCGGAGCTCTTGTTTGCGTTGCCAGCATTCCTTGAGCAGTTTGTCCAGGCAGAGTGGGGTGTCGTCGGGGTTGACTGGCCGCAAGTTGCCGCACGCGACGCCTACAGTATTTCCCACACAAAACACAAACATCAACTCACCGTTCTCTTCATCTCGTACGCGATATGGACACCAAAGTATGTACATTACCCTTCATCACTTCGCTCGACCCCATCGACGGGTACGGCTCGGACCACGCCAGCGCTTCCCATACAATGATCGAAAAGCTAAAGACGTCGCACGGCGTGCCGTACTTCTCCCCCCGGAGCACTTCAGGTGCCACCCACAGCGGCGATCCGCAGATGCTCATGGTCTTGCCTACTTCGCGGAACTTGGACAGCCCAAAGTCGGCAATTTTGGTGCGCATGGTTGCATCGAGGAGGATATTCTGAGACTTGAGATCTCGATGAATCACCACGGGGATGTGGTTGTGCAGATACGCCAGGCCTCGCGCCATGTCCAGTGCGATGTTATAGCACAGCGATCGGTGGTCGGCTACACCTACTGGTTTGGGTCTCTTGTGGTAGTAATCAAAAAAGCTGCCATTCACAAGCAGCTCCGTCACGAGCAGGAGATTGGGCGAGTTCGAGCACGACCCCATAAACAGCACAATGTTTGGGTGATGCAGCCCTTTCATGATGGAGCATTCCTTGTGAAACTCAATCATTGTGTTCTTCGGCACCGCTCCGATCGGGAGCTTCTTGATGGCTACGGGCGTGCCAAAGTACGTGCCGGAGTACACGACCCCAAACACCCCCTTACCGATGCTATCACCGCACACGACATCCTTCTCTGTGATTAAAAACCCATCTTCGGGCTCCACAGCATTGGTCAAAACCAGCTTTCGATCGGGAAAGATGATGTGGTCTTCCCATGCTTCGTCGCCGCAGAACGCAATCAACGCTACCTGCAACGCCGAGATGATCGCGGTGAACGTCGGACGGACCATCGGGTTCACGTCCCAACACTTGTGCATGAGTGTGGGAAGGGGCTCGAGTCCTGCATGTTCGAGGGGTTCCAGCGGCGTGAAGTCCGTCGGCCGCTTGCCGCTTTGAACGATGAACGGCACCGCGTCCGCGCTCACGTTTTCAAACGGACTCGCGCCGCTCAACGCTTCGTACAGGATGATGCCAAAGCTGTACACGTCCGTCTTCTCCGTGTGCTCGTCGCCGTTAAAGACCTCGGGCGCGAGCCACATGGGCGTGCCAACGTACATGCGCTTGGTGGCGGACTCGCTGAACGAGTCGTCCCGGAATGCCTTGAGTTTACTCAGGCCAAAGTCGCTAACTTTGCACCGCCAGTCTGCATCGATGAGCAAGTTGATGGACTTGAGGTCCCGATGGATGAGCGGCGGCGACGAGCTGTGCAGGAAGTTCATGCCGCGGGCCGAGTCGAGGAGCATGCGTAGCAGCAGCGTCCAGTCGATCTTGAGCTCCTCCGAGTGAATGACGCCGTGAACGCTACCCTTGGGGCATATCTCCATGACCAACCCCACGTATTCTGGGTGGAGCATCACGCCCATAAACATGACCACGTTTGGATGGCGGAGCTGCGCCATCACGGATGCTTCCGCCCCGAACGATGTCACGATCGCCTGTGTGTCCCCCTGCAATGTGATCTTCTTCACGGCCACGCTGGTTTCCTTCCATCGCGCTGCGTATACGCAGCCAAATGTTCCGCTACCGAGCTCGTTGCCGAGCTCGACGTCTTTCGGGTCGATGTGGCAGTTGGAGTGGAGGACCCCGCCTTGGCTGTGGACGCCACCACCGCCGCCCTCGCTAGACACGGCCGCGCCGCCGCTGAACCATCCCGTCATCTCCATCGTCATTTGAATCTGCACGTTTTCCTTGGCCAACCGCTCCGTCAAGACAAAATCGCGGCGCTCTTCGTACTCCCAGTTCCACGACAGAAACGAGAGGAAGATCGAGTAAAGGAATACGGCAGCCATGGACGTCCCCGGACTGCTCAGACTCATGGTGGGCTCGACCGAGTAATGTGCCCAAGCCATCACGATAAAGCACAAGCTACTGCATATCAGCACGACACCGGCTTCAATGAACGTAAGCCCCGTCGACGACGTGATGCCTACGAGTACGTATATCGAACCGGACAGCATATTATCTCGAGACGGACATACCCAACGAAAAGATAAACTGCACCCACACATTCTTCTCCGTCACATCTGTGGCGGCGGCGGTAGTGTCAAGCAGGGCACATACTTGGCCGACGAGGCATACGAGGGTGAGCGCCGCGCTGCTGTTGGCGCTCTGGAAGTACCCGCTGAACACGACGACGCTGAAGCCGCAGAGCCCGACGATCCCCGGGAAGATGAGCACGAGCGGTACCTCGGTCCAGTGGTTGGTCGTGTCGCGCTTGAGGGTGGCCTGCATGACCACGAGCAGCGGGATCACGCACGCCGTGAACCCAGCGCCGTAGCGGAGTCGGCTGCGGTACTTGGCCTGCCTCGCCAGGCGGAAGCGGCCCTCGAGGTCGTTGTCGGCGAAGCGCAGACTCATAAAGTTGATCTCGAACTCCTCCGTGCGTTTCTTGGACTCGCGCTTGGACGCGGTCTTGCGGAAGAAGATGGAACCGGCGCCCATCTTGCTCGGGGAGTCGCCGCCGTCCGTGGCGTTGGGAGATACCTTGGGCATGGGACGCCGTCCTGTCGCCATCTAACTCGCCTCTCCGCCGCTTTGTCTAGGACGTGGTGGTTGCAAGATAACTGAAACAGCTTGGGCGCCTAAGTATAGCCAGGATACAGCCTTAGCGGGAATAGGAGTAACGAGATAGTAGATACGGTATTTGAAACGGCGACCAATGAAACTCGAGAACTGCTTGCAATGGGATTGGAGGTTTCGACACGAACGACGAAAGGGCAAAGTGGCTCAAAAGTGCATTCTGTAAGTATACATGCACAGTTTACTTCCAGCTGCCATATCGGATGTGAGATATAAGACACGGAAGTCGAAACTTCAACCAATGAACGCGTGTCAATATGGCAGAACGTGACATGACCAGCATGATAGGAAGAACTCCATATCGTTTTCAAGAAATGGAAAACGGTCTTGGAACAAGCCAATGAACACGCGTGATCGCTTCTACGATCTTCTTGATCGACTTCAGATGAAGCGACTGGAGCGGCGACGGACGCACATGCTGGTGCTGGTCCTGTCCAGTCTCATGGTGTTTGGGAGTGCTTACTGCTACGATAACCCCAGCGCGCTCAAGATGCAGCTCCAGCAACGCTTCCACCACCTTCCCAAAGCTCATTACGAGTTCCTTTTCGTTCGTGATGATCGAGTGAGGCCATCACGCTCATGGCTCGCTGCGTAGAGCTTGTCGTACACCTTGTACTCGACCCCGAACATGGTTCTGCCCTTCTTTGGAGGCATGCTCGTGGACAAGTTTGGCGTTCGATCCATGGCCCTCGCCCTTTCCTTGCTCCTCCTCGCAGGACAGATCGTGTTCGCCGTCGGGTGCACCTTTGAGAACTTCTACCTCATGCTGGTGCGTCCTCCCTCCATGGTCCTTCCACCCTCATGTCCTCACGTGCAGGCCGGCCGCATGCTCTTTGGCCTCGGCGGGGAAACCATGTGGGTCGCGCAGAGCACGTTTGTTACGCTGTGGTTTGACTCGAGCGAATTGGGTACTCCGACCATCGTAGCATCCAATCTCACACTCTTTTCCAGCGTTTGCATTCGGCATCAACACGCTGTTTGCACGACTGGGCACTGTCTTGAACGATAAGTTGAGTCCGGTAATCGCAGACACGTATAGCGTGACCACGGCGCTGTGGGTGGGTGTGGCGTTCTGCGTGTTTTCGTTGACCTGCACCTACGTTCTTGTGCGTGTGGACGCCGCACACACTTCTCCAGATCCAATCAAGGGCCCTGCTGCACCTACACCTACTACCTCGCCATCGACCCGCCGCCCTGCTTGGCTAGCCTCGTTCAGGTGCGCACCTACCTCCGCCACATCTCTCGATATGCCAAGTGTGTATGTATATAGCGCATCCTTTTGGCTTATTGCCATCTCGTACGTATCGTTCTACGCTGTGATTGGGCCGTTCAACAACGTCGCCAGCTCAGTTTTACTCGAACGCGACTACTTCCAGCAACCGCCGCCGCTCTGCCAGCGCTGCGGCATCGGTTACTACAACCGCTCATTTGACTGCGACGCCGTATCTCCACACTGCCCAAATGTCCCTCCATTTGCGTGGCCCCTACCATTACTCTCCCAGAACTGCTCCATCACGTCTCCCTTTGACCAGTTCCAGTGCTCAAAAGCCCCGCCATACATTCTAGACCAAGATATCAACTGCGACGACGTTGCGTGGAGGGAAGGCCCATTCACCCATCGCTACTGCGCTACGAAATCCCAAGCGGCGGAATCTGCGACACAGGCCATGAGTGTGATGCCGTTGATCGTGGCGGTCGTGGCACCATTGAGCGGGAGTGTCGTGGACGCCGTGGGGTTGCGGCCGATGCTAGCTCTAGCGGCGGAATTCCTCCTCGTTGCCGCCCATGTTGCCCTCGCCTACACTACAGTCTCCGCGTACAAAGTACTCGCGGCCTTGGGTGTCGGCGCGTGCCTGTTCTCGTCCACCATGTGGCCGTGTATCCCGTGTAAGTGACACTGTGCTTCGAATTGTATACATCTTTGATTTTCATAATATATATATCTTTTGTTTTTTTCATGTTTTAAGGCATATATATATATATATCTTTCATTTTTAATGTACACATGTAGATGTCGTGGACCCGAGTGTGGTGGGCACCGCATTTGGAGCCATCACGGCGTTTTCGGTAACGTGACTCTATGAATAGTAGATTGTATGTGCTTTCTTTCCTCTTCCTTCGGCCGATAATATTATCTTTATATATTATATAAAACTTCGCTTTGAAGAGGTACTATTAATACTTGTATTGTGAATTTGCTATACACTTGCAAACTTCGCGTGGTTTGTTTGTCTAATCAATATTGAATCACGCTGGAGTTGTGATTGGTTGAATATACTGTAAGAGCCAATCAAATCTACTCAAAACTGGATTGGTAGCCAATAGCATCGTCGATTCGTGGTTCGGCGGCGAGATATTCGATTCGACGGGGTCTGGAAATTTGAACCTAATCAACAATATACTGTAATACTACTACGTTGTAGTTGTTGTCCAGGTTGTGATATTGTGCATTTCACCCACATTTGGACTTGGAAGTTATTTCGCCAAATAGTATTCAAATCCATTTGATCCAAAAAGATTAAGCTATAAGGGTGCGTCTGGTAACATTTCAAAAAGAATATTCCATTTTCTGCCAAAATGGGATTAACCAAAATGCCATTTTCAAAATGGAGGTAAAAGGTCCATTTTGTAATGTGGCGTTTTGGACCTCTTGAACGAGTAAATCCCACGTGGAATTATTGGATTTGGGTTAAAACTCTTCAAGCAAGACATATTTCAACTTTGATCAGATTTGTTGAATTTGGCCCCAAAATGGCGTTTTGGGCCTGAATATTGCAATATTTCCGTTTACCAGACGCACCCTAATACAAAGATTAGTATATACTGTATGGTTTTGCCCAATGCGCTGAGTCAAACGTTTGGATTGGCAGAAATGCACTAGAACATGAATTGATTGGCTTAGGCGGTTCTTTCATCCATTCTCCTAAGACATTCGATTCTGATGAGGGCAGTTTCGAATCGATTTGACAATATTTATTTCTTGTTACTTGGGGTAGAATTGTGGGCTGGCGATCGTGCCGTTGGTCGTGGCGGCAGTGTTTAATGCATATGATGCATACATTCCGCATGTGGAGGTCGTGTTCATCGCGAGTGCGGCGTGGACGCTGGCTCTGGGCGTGGCTCTCAACGCCCTGGATATGGCGCGGGGCCACGTGCTGAATCGGAAGGTGCTGACAGAGTGGCATGGTGGTGGTACCCCCCGCTACTTCCCCCCACATGATCAAGACGAGTTGGACCAGCCGTTGCTGCTCGACCAAGAAATAATATAATGTGGAGATGGCATGGTAGACCCAAGTATTAATATCATAGTACTTTTGTAGCTCATAATTAACTGTAAAATTGAACGATTTATTTCAATAGGCACTTGTGTTTTTTGAATTTATTTGAGATTGCATTGCACAGTCAATACACTTCAAAGTATATAATTATATTCACGTTTTTTATAGTATTTCATTGCGCAAAGAGGAGGGCAATTCATAGTAACAAACACTCGATGTCGACAGAGCAAGTACGTGTAACTGTGGGACGAGTCGTCGTCGTAGTAATACTACTAGAGTGTGTGCTACACATTGGTACTATTATTAGTATGTACTAGTACTACATGTTTGTCATTTCCAATCGGGTTTGGCGCGGCGTGGGTACTGCGCCGCGTGCTTGGCTTTGACGGCTTTGGCTATTTCCATGCTCTTGGCTATGCGCTAAAGTCCACGTGTGAGACCAACACTCCGTATCAAACAACAGAATGTTGGTTACCGAGATGTAGCTCGGCACGTCGATCGTTTGCGGCTTGAACGTGCATTCAGTAAACTCTAGGATCTCTTGCTCCTGCAGTGCCTTGCGCTGCTTTTCGTACAGTTTCAGCGTGTGTTCTTGCAGACGCTACGAGATCGTGCCACGTCATTCACTCAAAGAATGACACAATCACTCGTACTTGGACATAAGTGTCGGGATTCGACACCACTTTGAGCTTGCTCTCGACGTGGGGGATGCTCGTCGAGTTTACCGACGGTTTGAACGTTAGCTGGGCCATTTCGTGCTGCTCCATCTAAACATATCCATGGATGTATTTTGGTTGGGACGACATATATTGCTCAACATAACGGCCATTTTCTATACTTCTTACCCGCAGTTTCAGTAGACGCTGGGTGGTTTCTCGCTTGAGCAAGTCGCCGCGACTGAGCTCCGTCACGCTTCGTGCCACGCGGTTAGCGCTCACGTTGTTGATCTTGGGCTTGAATGTGCACTGGGGGTCCTGTCCACATACTGTATGTGAGTTTCGGGCGTAAACTGTACCCATGGATATAGTCAACTTCGAGATCAATCGATATACGACGACCAATCAAAACCCACAACACTCATCAAGTAGCCAATCAAATAATCATCCACTCTTCGAAGAAGTCAACATCGATTTAGTGTGTGAATGAAATTAGTGTGACAATCTTTCCATACAAAAGGCAGGACAAACAATAATCGATCGACAGATTTGGCAAAGAATCCGCACAAAAGCAGTCCAAATGTTGGGTAAAGGGACAATATATTATATATATATATATACAAACCTGCAACTTGATGGACTTTTTCTTGAGCTTGTCGTGCTCTTTCCGCAGTGCGTACTTGGCCACGCGTTCGATAAAGTCGCCTTTTCGGCCTTGTTGCATGATTTCGCTCGACTTTTTGTTGATCGCTGGTTTAAAGTCGAACGCGTGGGTTTCCCGCGCCTGCGACGACCGATTGTGAGCGTGCCACGTCATAGTATGAGGCAATGTATACCGCATCGATCTTTCGCTGCCGGTCCGACTCTTGCGCCGCCTGCCGACGCACAAACGCCCGAAACCGCCGGTTCCGATCCCGGCCATCGCCCACCGACCCCGCCGACGTCGGCCGAGACCCTTCGTTCTACAACAGTGTCATCCATGGGTACACTTTACACCCCATATAGCCTACCTCTGTGTGTGTTTTGCTGTCGTCCAGACTCCGCGGCCCACCATCACATCTCGAGGATTCGTCCAAAAGTTCCAGGGGTGTTTCAGGGGTTTCAATCGCAGTGGCCGGCCGACTACAATGTATCAGAGAATTCAATATTATATATATATATATATATATATATATATAAGAACTAGCTTATCACGAGTAGTGTACAGTACCTCAATCGATCAAATATATTTTGCTGAGTGTACAGCTGGGCCGACACCATGTCTTTGGGAATGACGTTGATCTTCGGGTTGAACGTACACTCGTCCATGTCTACAGCCAGAAGGAACAATTATCTCAAATAATATATATATATATATGAACAGTTATCTCAAATATATATATATATATTGTAAGTTACCTGTGGACAGAGTGGGCGGGCCGAGAAACTTTTTGTTATACACTGGTTCTTTGTATTTCGACCGAACCGACGGAACCATGGAAGTTTTGTTCAAAGTCGGCTTGAACGTGCACTCGCGCTGCTGGTCTAGTTCCTCTTGTTCTCTTGCCCGTAGCGTCATTTCATCTCGCAGTTTGTAGTTGATGACATCCTAACCATATATATATATATAATTATATACATATATTGATACTTGACATTCAGGTATTGCATGGTGGTTTGTTTACCTTGTACAACCGATCGGCTACTGAATCGGTGGTGCGGTGCCGCAACTTGGACGCCACTTTATGGGATTTCTACCAGTATACACAAACTCAATACTATTGTCAAGTCGATTATTCGAAATTGGAGTGTTTGGGTGCTGCTCAATCGAATGACCAGAAGAACCAAATCAATTGGCAGACAATATCGATATACGACCAATCAAAACCCAGAACACGAATCAAGTGGCCAATCACATCCACTCTTGGACCATTTCATCATCGAAGAAGTGTGTGACTGAAATTAGTGTGACACTGGACGATCTTTACATACAAAAGTCAGGACAAACAAGATATCGATAGATTTGGCAAAGAATCCGCCCTAAAGTAGTCCAAATGTACACTAAGATATATCCTTAGTAAAGTACCGGGTTGATGGTAGGCTGGAACGTGCATTCATTGAGTTCGACCTCGAGTTGCTCTTGTTTAAGCTACGTGGACAATCATCGTCCGAAACGACATCCATGGATATGTTGGCACCTTCTCCTTAAGACTCTCCTTTTGCTGCTTCCACCGCGACACGCGAACATGGAACGAATCTTCATCCAAGTAGTGCACATACCGGGACGCGCCGCTGTCATAGTCGTTTAGTTGGGACGATCTGCCGCTCAGCGAACCATCCCTGGGGATACTTTACGCCCCAAACACACAGGACAAAAACGTACTCGAAAGTGGGGCTTTCCTGCATCGGGGAATATGCAAATGGATCCGTTGCCACGAATGCTGCCGACGGTGCTGGCGCTGCTGCTTGGCGAGTTTCGTCGGGCGGCAACATGGTGTGCTGGAGCTGGTGGGCTTTCTCGGCGGCTAGCCGGCTCGCCAAGAGCTGTTGGACCGATATTAGCTTGGCTTGATCGTGTGAAACCCCAGCTCGATCCGTATCGTAAAGCGAATGATGCTGTGGCCGCAAAGACGACATGCCTCCTGCTCCGCGCTCGTTGCTCTCCACCACGGACGCCGCAAACGACGTCCCGCTCCGCTTGAAGGGCACTGTCGGCGCAGGCGGTTCTGGCCCACCGCCGCCACCACCTGTAGGCTGAAGCTTGGACAGCTGCATGAAGAGCTCGGCCTTGGAGATGTCTCCCGCCTTGAGCTTCTGCATGAGCTCTGCGATCGCATGCGTCTTAGCTGTCGCCATCGGCCCACGATGTTACGTCCCTTCGCCTAATTATATCGCGTCGTTTCGCTCAAGTATCCGGATACTATTCTATATCCGGATGGACCATAAATGCATAAAATATACGTAAAATTATCAATAAAATTCACTATTTTTCGAAATGTGTTCAGCATAACACGTTTTGAAATTGAGCATGTGTCGTCGTCTCAGGTAGACGTGCCCGCGGAAGCAATCGACGTCATCTGGTTCATGAGCTGACCCATGGATGTGCAGGTGAGAAGCAGCGTCTCCTCTGTCAAACTCCCCTTGATGGACTGAACCCGCTTGAACTCTCCCAGGAGAACTCGGGTCACCACCACCAGCGCATGCTGTGCATCGTGCATCTACACAAACTGCTCATGACAACCCCACGAGGCGGTACTCTCCTCTACCTGCTGTCCGGTTTCTTTAATGACGTGCATCTTCCCCTTGCGTTTGGCTTTTTCATGCTGTTCATGCGGCGATCCAGTCATCCAGTGCTTGACATATTGGACAAATCCTGTACCTTGTGCACTGCAGTGTGGAAATCCAACTCGAGGTTGTCCCGCTGGTGCATCTGGACCATCTACCAGCAAAAACCTCAGTGAAATGGAAATATCCAAGGACATGCACATACCAGTGCCTCCATGCTTTGGACGTGCTGGCGAAGTTGCGGAAGCACATGCTGCTCCATGGTCGGGCCATACGTCGTGGTCTTGCCCTGCATTTGACGCATGACATCTCGGAATCGCGTGTCCGAGTGGTCCATCTTGATGCGTGCATTGCATTCGCCTACATCGAATAGCGCGTCTCCGAGGCCTACGTTAGCAGCCGCGTCAGCCATCGACCTTGACATGATGACTTCGTACGGGACACACACAAACCCAGCTGCTTCAGCGACGCTTCCTGGCCCTTTAGATGCTCAAATAGCTTCAAGTACTTTTCTTTCTCGCTTGCATACTCCTCTTGGTTGAACACAGTTGTCGTCTCTTCTCGGAGCTTGCCAACAATGTTGCGTTGCGTGAACCGTCGGAGGGCATCGCGGACGCGCGTGGTCACGGGCCGACTCGTCTGCTGCTGCAGCACCTTCTCATGCTCCGCTTCCAGGCGGCGTTCGTCTTGCACTATGGTCAGCTCCATCGTGGGGTATGTCGGCTAAATCGAGAATGGCCATCGCATGCAGTCAGATCGCGCCACCGCCACGGTTTCTGCGCGACAACGCGATTGTGAGAAATCAATGCACATCCGGATAAAAACGACATCCTTCGTGAACCGGATGTTTGTGTCGCAGTCGAACGTTTTCAAATCTTATGCTGGAGAAGGCCGCGTCGGCGAAGCGGTGGGTCCTCGTGCTCAGCAGCTTGCTGGTGGTGGGTCTCAACTACTGCTATGACAACCCAGGTGCCATGAAGTCGCAGCTCCAGCAGCACTTCCACCGCATTCCCAAGACCAAGTACGAGCTGCTCTTCGTACGTGTACCTTTCCACCACCTCGACTTGTGCTCGATCACACGCCCAACGTAGAGCTTGACGTACAGCCTGTACTCGGTACCCAATATGGTGCTGCCACTCTTTGGCGGCATCTTGATCGATCGCGTGGGGGTGCAGACCATGACCATGGTCGTCGTGAGCCTGGTCCTGGCTGGCCAAGTGATCGTCGCCCTCGGGAGCGCCATGCACAACTTTAACCTCATCCTGGTACAAGCCTTGGTTCCTTGTCGAGTTTACATCCTTGACTAGGTCGGTCGCATCGTGTTTGGCATTGGCGGCGAAACCATGAGTGTAGCACAGGTCAAGGTCCTCGTCAAGTGGTTCGACATGTCCGAACTAGGTACAACGTACCTAATGAATAGTACCTACCTAATCCATGTCTTAACCAATGGAGGTAGCGTTTGTGTTTGGACTCAGCAACAGCTTTTCCACGTTCTCAGCAGTACTCAATTACAAATGGAGTCCATGGATAGCCGACCATTACGACGTCACGACCGCGCTGTGGGTGGGCGCCGGCGTGTGCGGTCTGTCGTTCGTCGCGGCCCTGCTGCTTGTCCAAATCGACAAGAAATTGCATATCGCTTCCGAGAAGTCAGAGGCGGCATCCATTCGCGACCTCAAACTGCTTGGGTGGGTACCTATCGTTCCTCAACAATATTTATCCCCAGGCTCTGTTTCTCGTAGGTGGCTGTTCTGGCTCCTAGCGTTGCAATCCCTCGTCAACAGTTGCATCGGCCCCTTCAACAACACTGCCACGAGCGTCTTTCTCGAACGAGACTACTTCCAGCAACCGCCGCCGCTCTGCCAGCGCTGCGGCCTCGGCTACTACAACGTCTACTGCGACGCCGTATCCCCACACTGCCCAAATGTCCCTCCATTTGCATGGCCACTACCATTACTCTCCAAGAACTGCTCCATCACGTCTCCCTTTGACCAGTTCCAGTGCTCGAAAGCCCCGCCGTACATTCTAGACGAAGATATCAACTGCGACGACGTTGCGTGGAGGGAAGGCCCGTTCACCCATCGCTACTGCGCCACGAAATCCCAAGCGGCGGAGACTGCCACGTCATCTCTGAGCTACAACCCCATGGTGCAGACTGGCTTGGCGCCGTTGGCTGGGTGGCTCGTGGATTTGTTTGGCAGGCGGCCGATGATAAGTGTCGTGGCGGAGATCGGGGTCGCGGTGGCGCATGCCGCCATCAATTACTCCCAAGTGACAGTGACAGTACCGCTCTTGCTGCTGGGTGTGAGCCAGTGCTTTTTGCAAGCCAGCATGGGGTCTGCCTTTCCCCGTACGTACGTGTTTGTATATCCGGTCCAAGATAAAGCATACGGATCATTGACGTCTTGCAGTGGTCGTGCCTCCAAGGGCGATCGGGACAGCGTACGGCTTTCTGGCCATGGTCGGGGTACGACAGAATGTGTGTACATCTTGTGTTTTTTCCATATGAAGAACGAGTAATAGAATATGGGTGCCGCGGTCACCCCCCTTGTCGTGGCAGCCCTCTACGCCCACTACGACCGGTACATTCCCCACGTTCAAGTGCTGTTTGTGGGGTTCGGCGTGGCCAACGCCCTGCTCGGTGTGGCGCTTGTGGCCATGGACAGAGCCCATCATGGCGTGCTCAGTCGCTTCTCGCCTCCTCGAGACATGGACTTGGACCACAAGGAGCCGTTTCTGGAATAGTCTTAACAGAAATATTGTCACGCAAATTTGGCTGTTCAAAAGTGAAACCGTTTCTGAATGACTTACTACTACTTGGCACCACCGCCCAGCTTGTGACGCCATTTTGTTCTGGCATGTGTTCCGCAGGTCACCTGACATCTGCTATGCATGAATCATCCAAACTTCCTTCACTAAAAGGCGTCGGCATTGCAGGGTACTACTGCACTCAGGCTAGCACCTCAGCAACCCAAATCACGTGACATGAGTGTGTTCTGCCCCGTTGGCTCGAGTGCTCCACTGGCGGTCGATGCTGGCTATTACACCGTTGGCGCAACCAATAGTACAAGGCAAGTTATAGTTTACTGGGAATGATGTACCTGGAATGATGTGCCTGGTATTAACGTTTCATGTAGAGTGGGGCAAGCACTGTGCAACGTGCGACAGCTTTGTCGGGTGTCGGGGTGGAATTGCGTATGACTGCCCGTACGGCGGCATTCCAGGTACATTTGACGTTGGATTATGGCTTATCCGGTGTAATTGCGTGCATCACGGAGTAGGATTGACCGTCGGGCAATGCATTGGTTGGTGTGCAGCTGGCTTCTATTGCCCTCCACGAAGTGTGTCGGCGACAACCAACAGGTACTACAACAATGCCATTGCCCAGCACCTGAAATGAAACACGTATGTAGATGTGCCGATGCATTCTATTCCGTCCGAGGCCAAGGCTCATGCATGCAATGCCCATCGAGCCGATCTACATTTCGATGCCAATCCTTTCGGCTAAGAGAGGGGGTGCAGGCGATATTTCGCCTAACGTTATATCAGTAAAGTAGTACGTATAATTACCTTAACTGAATGTACTTTGACGCATGTTATCCGAAAACTCACATCCAATTCAACAGTTCCTGTTGCATGTTATACAGATATCCAACAGTTTACACAACATATTCATTTTTACAAACCCGAACTTAAAACACATTATATATTTTATATGCACACTCAATCGAACCTATGCGTGAAATATATACAACATAATTTCAGTCAAATCTCAGCAGATAAAACGATGATTTCGGGTATTATCATACCTTCTCGGCCTTTTGGCTAAGATCAAGTGTAGTATCTGTTCTAATCAGTGTGAAAACTGATTACCATATTTAATATGGTTTTTTTTTCACATTCATTTTTATAGATTCCTGGGGTTCAGGCGGCTTGCCACTGACCTCGGGACAGGTTTCCGAGGGCCCAGCACTCCTCCCTTGTGAAGCCTAACACTTCAACATACTTCAACTCTATCACTCACTGTTTACTATACCATCTTCCTCCAACTAACACTTCAACATACTTCACACTCTATCACTGTTTACTATACCATCTTCCTCCAATTACTTTATACACTCACACCAATGAATTATTCTTTCACAAGAG